AGTCTTGTGTTAGAGCAACAAATGTCACCGCATAGTGTTTTACAAGGGAACCTCAGGGGGGGTGAACCCGGTTTGGCTGGGATGGTATGATTTCATATTTAGGATGGACGAGTGTGCAGAATACATGTATATATATACACGAAATCATATTATCCCAGGGGGGAACCGATAAGTCCGGGGGGGGGAATCTATTAATCTTTTTGAAAGGAGCATCTATTGCAAGCGATTCAAATGCAACGGGAAGGGGTCGCAACGGGGCGGCAGCGACGGGCGGCGACGAGGCGGCGACAGGCGGAGACCTCTACAACAAGCACGGCGACCGACACCCAAGCGAAATGGAGCGGCGACGGATGGCGGTGACGGGCGGCGATGGCGACAACAAGCGCGGCGACCGTCACCCAGGCCCAGAAGCAGCGGCGACGGACGGCGGCGACGGGCGGAGGCGGCGACATCAAACCGGTCAGACCGATACCCAAGCCGAGTTCTGTGCAAGACAAGTCGAAATCCCTAACTGCGAGCCCTGTTCGGGGAACGTCGGTGGAACGTGAGGTGCCTCATCGAAGACATTGTGCCGTTCCGTGCGTGCCGGGCCCTTTGTCCTGAAGCATGTGGCATGGCGCCCGCATCGCAGAGCGGATTTCGTTCGGAAAACGATATAGATGGGCCCAGAGTGTCCTGGAGAATCTCGCCCCGGATTGCGAGGTGAAAATCGTGCGGATTTTTGTTGGCCAGAAATGAAGAGTAAACGCAGTCCACGCGAAATTAATTTCGTTTTTTCGTTCGCCGTTTCGGGTTTCGTGGCTTTGCATGCGCGCCTCTTCCCCGTCGCCCTGGTCCGGGCCTGCGCGGACGACCTGGCGTTGGTGACGGGCGATATGCTGGCCGACGCCCCGCGGCTGGAGACGCTGTTCGAGGAGTACTCGCGTCTCTCCAGGCTGCACCTCCATTTGGGGAAGTCTGTAATCATCCCATTGTCTCCAGGGGACCTTGAGGACTCGCGCCAGGCCATTGCCCAAGTCACGACCGCATGGGCCGCCATGCGGGTCGCAACTGACGGAGTGCCTCGGGTTCGTGCTGGGCCCGACGAGCGGCCGCAAGTCGTGGTTCAAACCGCTCCAGAGGATGCTCGACAGGACTTGGGCCTGGGGCAGAGTGGGCGGGGGAATGCAGGTGTCGCCCGCGGCCCGGGTGTACATCACCTCCGCCGCTGGTTTCGTGGCTCAGCTCCTGCCCCCTCCCCTGGGTTGGGAGACTACGGACCGACAGATCATGACGCTCCTCTCCCCCGGCCCCCGGGGGTGGCTCTCCCCTGCATTTTTGCGGGATCCTTCGCGCTTCGGGATGGCCGGTGGTTTGGACGATCTTGAACATCTTTCCCTGCCAGCGCGTGTTCGCGTATACCGTTACAATGCCCGCGAGGAGGGGGGATTGCAGATAAAGGCCCAGCGATGGCACCTCCACGACGCCATCTCGCAGACCGAGCGGCTGGGCCGCCTCGCCGTCTGGGCTCCGTGGTACGACACTGCCCTGTGCTGCCACGTCTGGGCGGCCAACGCCTTCTTCGTTCAGAGTGCTTTCCCAGCGGAGGTCGTCCAGGGCCGGATCCTCCAGCACGTGGACGCGACGGAGCTCACAGAGGCGGAGCTGCAGGACCGGTGCCGCAGGCGTTGTCTAGGGACCCTTCGGGATGTCCTTCGACCCGCTGCCGACGAGCATGCCCTTCGCTTCCTCCGGCGGCGATCGGACAGATGGGGCATCCATGTCTTGCCTGGCCACAGGGCGCAACGAGCCCTGAACGTGTTCAAACAGTTAGCTGGGAAGGTACCCGCCCGGGTCTTGGCGGCCCTCGTCCGCACGTTGTGCAACGGCTGGTGCACGGCGCGCCGCTTCCAGCGCTCGGCCTCATGCATGTTCGGCTGCGGCGGGCTGGATTCCATCGAGCATTATTCGCGCTGCCCGGCCGTGGGCCGGCTCGCCCGCTCTAGGATGGCCCTCCCGCAGCACGAAGATCCCTTAGCAGAGTTCATCATGCTCTCCGGGGCTGGCACAACAGAGGACGACGTTCTGACCAGGCGCGCTGTGAGGACAGCGGCCGCCTGCAAGCTGCATTGCACGCTCCGCCACTCCAATGAGGCCGCCGTCGCGTCGCCAGACGCGCTCACGCAGGTGGTTCGTTAGATGGTCCGCAGCCGCCCGCGCGCTGCTAGGGCGGTCGGGCGTTCGTTTATTCGCTGAGGTTGACTCATTATCACCCTTCTCCCTCTCTCTTGCTGTTGCTGCTTCTGGCCTGGTGCTCTTGGCACTGCGGCGTTGTGCCTGCCTCGCTTGATCTGGTTATCATGTTCTCCGCGTGGGGCGCGGTATTCGGCCAGGTCGCTGGCCTAGTCCCATGTTGTGCCAGGTCTTATTTGGCAATTTTGGCCAGTAGGGCTCTCCCACAACATGTTGATCTCTCCTCGCAAGCCGAGGATCAGTGCGAGGGCTCACCTATCGCAGGTTGGCTAGCGCTCGGGCCTGGGTTTGGCATGGCGCCCTCGAGATGATTTGGTGTCGTTTCTCCTCAACCTCCGTTCTTCCTCCCTCCTCCTCCTCCTCCTCCTCCTCCTCCTCCTCCTCCTCCTCCTCCTCCTCCTCCCTCCTCCTCCTCCTCCTCCTCCTCCTCCTCCTCCTCCTCCTCCCCCTCCTCCTCCTCCTCCTCCTCCTCCTCCTCCTCCTCCTCCTCCCTCTCGCGGCTGCTTCCTTTGAGCCGGACTGGGGGAAGTCTGGTTCGCAGCCTAATCCAAGCCGGCGCGGGTGTTTCCCTTCCCTTTCTCTTCTTCCGCCTCCTCCTCATCCTCCTCTTTCCCATCCGCTGGAGCTTTCGGGTTTCGGACCTAGCCTTGGCCCGCTCTGGCACATACGTGCGCGAGGGAACAGAGCCACGTTTTGTTGGGAGAGCGTTCTACTAAGCAGTTGCGGAGAAACGCCCGCGCACCGGGTTCGCGACATTTGTTTGTGCCTCTGGTGTCCACAGGGGGGACAGGATTTGTCCGCCTGTGGCGGTGCAGGCAGCTGTACCCTTTGGTCCCAACCTCGTTCCTCAAGGGCGCTGACTGGTGACTGTTTGGTCCAGACCTCCCGCTTCTTTGTTCGCACTGCTAACCCTGAGGCCAAACCTCCCGCAACAGGGTTCCGATTGGATATACACGTTGAATGACACTCGAACAGAAATTACCCTGGCGACGTACCCAACCCCTGCGCAATGCGGGGCATGCGTAGCTTGGGAGACGTTATACGGAGGTGATGACGTGGCATGGGCGCATATACTTCTGCGAGCGGCATTCGTGAGGCCCGCAGCCCCCCAAGGATTGCAATGTCCCGCTCAGATCTGCGCAGTGCCTCGCTCCGCTGGACCCACCGGCAACCCTCGAAAGTGGCGACAGTTTCGCAGATCGCAGCCCCCAAGGGACGGCGAGGTCCCGCTCAGATCCGCGCGGTGCCCCACTCCGCAGGACCCACCAGCAGCCCTCGAAAATGGCGACAGTTTCGCAGATCGCAGCCCCCAGGGACGGCGAGGTCCCGCTGAGATCCGCACGGTGCCTCACTCCGCAGGACCCACCAGCAGCCCTCGAAAGCGGCGACAGTTTAGCAGATCGCAGCCCCCCACGGACGGCGAGGTCCTCACTCCGCAGGACCCACCAGCAGCCCTCGAATGTAGCGACAGTTTCGGAGATCGCAGCCCCCAGGGACGGCGAGGTCCCGCTCAGATCCGCGCGGTGCCCCAATCCGCAGGACCCACCAGCAGCCCTCGAAAATGGCGACAGTTTCGCAGATCGCAGCCCCTTCAGGGACGGCGAGGTCCCGCTCAGATCCGCGCGGTGCCTCGCTCCGCTGGACCCACCAGCAGCCCTCGAAACTAGCGACAGTTTCGCAGATCGCAGCCCCCCCAGGGACGGCGAGGTCCCGCTCAGATCCGCACGGTGCCTCACTCCACAGGACCCACCAGCAGCTCTCGAAAGAGGCGACAGTTTCGCAGATCGCAGCCCCCCAGGGACGGCGATGTCCCGCTCAGATCCGCGCGGAGCCCCACTCCGCAGGACCCACCAGCAGCCCTCGAAACTAGCGACAGTTTCGCAGATCGCAGCCCCCAAGGACGGCGAGGTCCCGCTCAGATCCGCGCGGTGCCCCACTCCGCAGGACCCACCAGCAGCCCTCGAAAATGGCGACAGTTTCGCAGATAGCAGCCCCCCAGGGATGGCGAGGTCCAATTTGCACCTGCGTGTGGCGTCACTGTGCTGGGCCCCCCCAGCAGGCCTCGAAAGTGGCGACAGTTTCACAGATCGCAGCCCCCCAGGGATGGCGAGGTCTAATTTGAATCTGCGTGTGGCGTCACTGTGCTGGGCCCCCCAGCAGGCCTCGAAAGTGGCGACAGTTTCACAGATCGCAGCCCCCCAGGGATGGCGAGGTCTAATTTGAATCTGCGTGTGGCGTCACTGTGCTGGGCCCCCCAGCAGGCCTCGAAAGTGGCGACAGTTTCACAGATCGCAGCCCCCCGCAGGCAAGATAGGAGGAGGCAAGAGGGAGGCGGGAAGGAGGGAAGGAGGGAGTGGAGACCACACTGCTCTATTCAAAACGAATCCCCAACCAAGGAGGGTTGGGAAAAATCTACGCACAAATCCGCTGCAGCACGTCTGCAAGGGTGGCGCGCCGACACGTGGGCCCTGAAGGGGAGGGCTCCCGCTCGCAGGACCCGATCCCCTCGGGGCCCGCCTCCTCCTCCTCGCCAGCCGTCCCCTCGGCGTCACCCTAACATGCTTATACGATATGCGCGACGCCACCCCTATGGGCGACGCGCGCACCGAGAAATCTCATAGTATATGCGTCGTGGCGGGCGCTTTCTGACCGCACCGGTCGGGAAACGATGTACTACAAGATGGGCATACCATATGTTCGGGTCGGACGCGCGCCTCCAAGAAGTATTCGTATGTCTCTGTGCGTCGTAGCCCCGTCCGCGGCCCCAGGCGCCATCTGGGACGACACCCCGCGGGGCAGCAGGCCGCGAGCCGCGCCCCGGCTGCCGCCCGCCCAGCGCCGGGAGGGCGGGCGGGGGGGGTGAGGGCCAGCCTGCATCACGCCGCCGCGCGGCCAGATACCCATGGCTTTGAGGAAGCTCCTCCTCCTCCTCCTCCTCCTCCTCCCTCCTCCCTCCTCCTCCTCCTCCTCCCTCCTCCTCCTCCTCCTCCTTCTCCTCCTCCTCCTCCTATTCCTCCTCCTCCTCCTCCTCCTCCTCCTCCTCCTCCTCCTCCTCCTCTTCCTCCTCCTCCTCCCAGGGAACGCCGTGCGCGCGAGAGGGTACGGCGACGACGTCGACGGATGGCCGGCGACCAACGTCAGGTGTGCCGCTTGATCCAAGGGTCGTGGGCTTGTTTTCCAGCACCGCCACCATACGTTGGAGGGGGGGAAGGTTCTGGAGGATGAGGAGGAGGACGAAGAGGAGGAGGAGGAGGAGGAGGAGGAGGAGGAGGAGGAGGAGGAGGAGGACCCCCTCCCCCTCCTACTTCTAGTGGTGGCGGTGGAAAACAAGCCCACCTATCGGCGGCGACGGGGCCGGCACGCACGAGTCAAGCAGTGGCGAGGCGGCCTGGCTTGCCTGGTCGCGTCCTAGAAGCGTCGAGCCCACCGAAGGATGTTCGGGTGACCTCCTGGTTCTTGGCACGAGGTGTTCTCCGCGTCCCTCGGGGAGGCCGTCCGACTTGCACACGCAAGTTCTATGCTCTAAGACGCTCAGAGCCTTGCCTCTGCTCTTACAACTTTCCATTTTTCAGTAGTGATTCCGTGGCAGCCTCACATCGGGCGACGAAATATATACATATCCGCTGCTCCCTGGCCAGGGGCATCCTGAACCCGAGAGCTGTTTATACGCCGTCCTGGCCAAGCCAGGAGGGCGTGGCGTACGCACCGCTGCTGGGCTCAGGATGGACATGGCCAGGGAGCAGCGTATATTCCCCAAGCAGTGGTTGCACTGAGGGGGTCGTAGCGGCAATTGAAAGATTTGTCGAACGTTTCCCGCCGACTTTGGTGGCCGGCTGGGTTCCCGGGTGCCCGGTCCCGGGTTCCTGGGTTCTTGGTTGTTGGTTCGGGCCGACTTTTTTTTCTTTTTTTTTTTAAAAAAAAAATACAATAAATATAAATGATCCTGTTTGAATATTATTGGGGTACCGTTAATTTTTCCTGTATGGGGGACATGCCCGACCTAAGGCTACCCGTAGGGCTCCCCTCTCGGTGTCAGGGGCCCTCCGGGCCCGGCTCGCAGGAGGTGTTCTTCGGTGGTCCAGGGGGAGGCTCCAAGGGCGGGGGGGAGGACGAGCGACACCAACACCGCCAAGGGGCCACCTCCAGCGAGGAGGTCCACGACGCCTCCCCGAGCTGGGGACTGGGGGGTGCCTCCAGCGAGAATGGGGAACCAAACCACCAGGGGACCCGTCCCTGGCTACTCCCGCTGGTGGTCTGCCCGACCTAACGATAGGGGGGGATAGGCATAGGGGGGGTGCATCGACGCTCGATCGCCCAATGAGCGCCGATAGGTGTATGATAGCCCCATCCCGCTCAGAAACGTGCGGATTTGCTATCGGGGGCCTATCGTTGATCTACCAGCGTTGTATCGCCGATTCCAGATCGATGTCTCCCCCCATGCCAGTCCTCCCCCTAGACATGCGACGTCCTGACTGTTGACAATGCGTACGCGGTCCCTGGAAATCCAGACGCCTTTCCCGTACGGGCTCTTCATCCTGAGTTGTTGTGTTGTCGGCCCCAGGGCCCGGTGAGGGCCCCCCGAGGCAGAAAACAACCGGAAACCTCCCGTCCTGTTTTCTTCACGACGCAAGCGTGTCTGGGGCCCCATCGTCGGCCACGCGCAGAAGGGGGGGCAAGTGGAGGGGGAAGGTTTCTCAAAAGCACGCCCTGCTTCTCAGAGAGCTCGTCCGTGGATGCAGGGCCCGCGCCTTCTAAGAATCAGCCTCCTGAGAAGCCTTCCCCCCTCACCCCAGGCACTGTGGACAACACTCGACGCAAAATGCACCCCGCGCGAAGGCTGTTAGCAATCCCGGAACTAACTCCTGGAACGCATCAAGAGCAAATTGTGTCAATACACTCTTCTCGTGCTACTACCCCCCCTCCTGCGCGCCACCGACACCTCCCCTGCCTCCACCCCTGCGCCTGCCCCGCCCCGTCCCCAAACCCCCGACGTCGTGATTTTTTCAATACGTCGACCCCCGAGGTCTCGTCCCATTCCCCGGGACCCGTTTCTCGTCCTGAGTCGTGCTGTTGACGGCCCCGAGGGCCGGGAAGGGCCTCCAGAGGCCGAAAGTAAGGAACAACCTCCCGTCGTGATTTGTTCATTGCCCGAGGGGGTCGGTCTCCGAGGTCGTAGGCAGGCGGCTGATATGGAGATTCCGTTTGGCCGACCCCCGAAACCCGGAACCCAAACATGTTGTCGTCTCTCCTGGAGGCGCACGTTCCGCCGTCCGCCGGCAGCGCCGCCTCCATGCTGCCTCCGCTGGCTTCCGCCGTCCTTCCGCCGCCTTACGCCGAGGAATACGTCGCAACTCTGAGGTCGGGCACGTCCCCCTGCAGTCGGATTCTGGAAGGAAGTTTAGAGAAATACTTGAAAATACACCCCGAATAGGCAAACGTCGTCAAATCATCGCCCCCCGTGAGAAAAACCTCCTCGTCGTGATTCGTGATTTTGTTCGTTGCCCGAGGGGGCCGGGGTCTCCTGCGACCAGCCGCCCCGCTGGCCACGAGCAGGAGCGCCCCGCTGGCCATCGAAATGTACGCCTACCTCACCGGCACCGTCGGGCTGGTGCAGGCCCCGCGCCGCCCCCGCCCCTGGCGAGGGCAGGGGGGAGCCATTAGAGCGAGGCAGGAGGAGGAGCGACGAAGAGATAGGAGTCCAAGGAGAAAAAGACCACATAAACATAAAACTTTGGGCGCTCCGCGCGGATTTCTTGGATTCGCCGCGGGCCCTCCCGGCGGCGCCTCTGGCGCCGCCCCTGGCGCGCTCCGCGCGCCAGGGAGGCGGGTTCAGCGCGAATCCAAGAAATCCGGGCGGAGCTGGAAAAGTTTATGTTTATGTGGTTTGTTCTTCCTCTGAGGAGGACGAGGAGCGAGGAGGAGAAGGAGGGCGAGCAGAGGAGGAGAAGGGATGGCTGGCAGGGGGAGGATCAGGCGATCGCAAACATGGATTAAGGGGGCCCCGCTTCCATGGGAAATCGCTGATTTCCTCCGCCGAACGAAGTGGCACCGGCCGCATTTTGGGGAGGGCACCTCCCCCGATCCATGGATTTGGCGACCGCGCGCCACATCCATGGATCGCTAATCCATGTTTGCGCGCCCCCGGGAGGAGGGGGATCCGGGGGGGCGATCTCTGCGGCAGCCGGCCCAGCCGCACTCGCCCGCGCAGCGGGGTCCCTGCGATCTGCGTTCTCGCCGCCGGTGGTCCTCTCCCCCCTGCGCCGCTGCTTCCGAGGCGGGGGCGTGTCGGCCAGAGCCGCGGCACCTGTCGGAGCAGCGGCACCCCTCCTCCTCCTCCTCCTTCTTCTCCTCCTCCTCCTGCTCCTCCTCCTCCTCCTCCTCCTTCTGTTCGTTTCCTCCTCCTCCTCCTCCTCCTCCTCTTCTTCCTCCTCCTCCTCCTCCTCCTCCTTCCCCAGGTGTGGGTCCCCCAGAGCCGTCTCCGAAGAGCCATTGAGAAAAACCTCGTGCGAACAAGCGCCCCTGTAAACGGCAGTGCGCGGTGTCAGCACATGAGCAGATATGGCATCTACATGTGGCGAACGATATACAGTCAACCCGCATAGGGAGTTTTCAAAGGGCTACCCTTGCATCCTTGCCCCTTCGGCCCATCCTCAGCGGATTTCGCTGGCCAACCTCGTTCGAGAAACGTTAGTATGGCCCTACAAGGCCGTTACATCCTTACTGTGCGCCCTACGGGATGGCTTTTTTATCGCCGAGATCAATCGACAGTGCATACCCATTCCAAGAAACACCCTGCTTGCCTCCGAGGTGCTCTGGGTTTCTTTGGTTTCGACTGTTTCGCTATGGCGAGCGTGACGTTCTCACGCCGGAAATCCATGAACGACCCGGGATCTCAGGGCTGGGTGTCTTGTAGAAGGCTTCTTGTGGAAGGGCCTCCACTCTAGGGCGCCCGCAAGGGATGAGGCAGGTACAGCATCAGGTCGGGCATGTCCCCTCCCCCTGCAGGCGGATTTTGGAAGACAAATATCATGTAGTCAAACCATATTCAAAAAATGACCAGAACATGTTCCAGGAATGGTCCCCGGATTATTTTCGATCATTTTTGATTGTTCCTCCTGTAGAGGGACAGGCCCGACGTAAGTGCAGCAGGGCACCGCAGGGGGCTCACGGTCGGATCGCTATCCAGTCGCCGCCCGCCCACCCCCGCCACCCCTCCCGGGCGTGGCGGGGGCGGCCAGCGGCCTCTCGGATGCGGCTACATAGGGGATCTCTCGGGGCGCTTCTCGAGGGCCTCCTGCAACCTCCCTGGCGGCCTGGCACTCCAACCAAGCATCCGCCCCCCCCGCTAGGCTATAGGGGTCTCTCGGGGCGCTTCTCGAGAGCCCCTTGCAGCCTTCCCGGCGGCCCGGAACTCCAACCAAGAATCCGCCCCCCCGCCCCCCTCCCCCTCGCCCCCCCGAAACGTCCGCCGACTTGCCATCCCAAATTGTTTTCTGAATGGCCCCCCGAATGGCGCCCCGAAAGGTGCCGTGAATCGTTCCCCCTCAACTCTCATTGCAGCTGGCTTCTGATACAAAGCTGAGCATTTCCAGGGGGCGCGCCGATTTGCGTTGGGATGCTCCAGAGGACGACTCGTTGAGACGATTCGGGGGGCGTTTCGGGGCACGATTCGGGACACGATTCGGGGCGCGATTCGGGGGGCAATCCTGTAGACAGCTCGGGGGGGCAATTGGGCGGACATGTCGGCTGACGGCGGGTGCTTCGGGGGACAATTCGGCGGACGTTTCGGGATGCGTTTCGGGGGGCTTTTGATGGACATGCCCAGG